CAGAATAGCTCAGATATGGTAGAGTGGAGGGAAGGAAGAAACCACAATAGAAACTGACTTAGAATTGGAAACGCAGTTAAGAAAAACAAATTTGGATGGGCAGGGTGATTCCAGCTCCCTATGTACGTCAAAGGTATCTCAAAGAGAGGCACACTACAGAAGAAATGCCAGCATCTTTGTAACCTTTGAAGGTCAGTGGAATTGTCTCCCATCCAATGTTTCCATCTAATACTTTGGAACAAGTGATACTGAAATAAGTAATACTCAGAAAACCTCCCATAGAATTACGAGTGTTTGATACCACATATTTAAAAGACACAAATATTGTGAAACAAACAATGCAGTAAGTTCTCTTCTGTATGTTTTTGTTATTTGTGTATTTCCTAGACCTGTTTTGGCCACAGGGGATTTTAGTCCCTAGAGTGTTGCTGAACTCTGTGTAGTGACCATGGAAATCACTAGAGAATGGCTCTTAGCATAGTACCAACAATTTTTTTTTTTTACATATATTCCTACTGCCTTGTCTTCCAAACTGAGCCAAACATATCCATTTAATGTAGGAGAAATGTCCTTTTGTGTTTAGACATACTAACTTTAAAATCAAGCAACTGAAGTTACAGATTGAAACAATTCTGTTTTAGGAAAATACAGGCTTTTACCAGCATTTGTTCCGTTGTTTCTTTTATCAGTCTTTTCCAGCAGACTTTTTGTTACTCCTAATGTAGTGTGAGTAGATGCATTTTAAAATGACTGGAGGATTATTTATTGTTTCTACTAAAGAATTCTATAAACATCAGGGATCTTCTCACTTGCTGTGAGTAGTGAGAAACTTGAAAACTTTCCTCCTGAAGTCTGACAAAACCAAATTTTAAAATACCCTAAGATCATGTTCACATTATAGATATGCTATGGTTGTGTATGTCTGAGTGAGTTCATCTGTGTATGCTTGTTCAGGCTGACCCACAGCTTTTGTATCACAAACAGTTCACATTGACATATAAGATTTAATGTATTCTTAAAATTATTATATTAGCCTGAACTTTTTCTAGGAGGTATTATTCTTCTGAAGAAACCACTAACAATCTTAATAATTGCACGTAATAAAAATGTATGTACATAATTTCACAGACAGGGAAACTGTAGTCACTAAATACAATTTTGACATGTAAGTTACAGGGTGTCATCTAATGTGACTTATAACTTAATATGGATGTTAGCATTTAAAGATTTAAATGTTATGATACAAAGAATTTTATTGCATGTAACTGGCAAAGTGGTAATCTGGCAATAGGATCAAATGGTATCTTACCTATGTCTCATAGACCACTAATCTTCCCTATGCCTAATAGTCAGACTGTCTTGCTAGTGTGCTGAAACACAGTGGTGTGAAGCTTATGAGAACTCCAACTTCTTTATATTCTTTATTCTTATCGACAAAAAGAAATTGGAGAGTTCTGAAATACATTTTTATAAAAATTCTGAGGAATAGTTTTTACCATAAATAAATTGTATTCTATCCAATATAAATATAAAAGCTGCAATGTTTGCTTTTGCATTTCTCATGTCAGCTTTTATTCCCTTGCTCTACTTGCTTTTAGGGGCTACCTCTTTGACCCCCAAGTTCCTTTTCTGGTGGTTAACTGGAGATAAGAGTCTCACAGAATTTCCTGCCTGGGCTGGCTTCAAACTGTAATCTCAGCCTCTTGAGTAGCTAGGATTACATGCACAAGCCACCGGCATCCAGCTCCCTGACTCTTCTACAAAAGCTAGGTTTCTGATTATGACTTGAGTTTATAATTCAATGTGAATAAGTATGTACGTGTGTGTGTGTGTGTGTGTGTGTGTTTAGGATTTTGATTCAAGTCCTGCTTAAGCAGGTGCTGTGCTGCTAACTCATGCCTCCAGCTCTTCTTCTGCTGGTTTTTTATGAGGTAAGGGTATTGTTTCTTGGCCAGGCATGTGTCTGGAACACAGCATATATCTTAGCTAGGCTAATAGGCTCATTCCACCACACCCACTTTTGAAAGGGTCTTAGAAAGACCTCTTGAAAGGGTCTGAGAAAGGGTCTTAGGAAATTTTCTGTCTTGGCTGTCTTAGAAAGCCACACTCATCTTAATGTTAGTCTCTTAAGCAATTAGAACTACAAACATGAGCCACTGGTGTCAGGCTATGTATTAACATTGAAGGGTAAGCCTACTCCAGAGCTGGGCAGCTTTTCAACATACATATAAAGCTATTTTTCCATGGTTCAGTTACTTATTGCTATGTAACAAACAACATCTCAAGATTCTGTGGGTTAGCTGTTCAGATGGGAAGTTCTGATAGTAGCTAGGGTGACTTTTGCAATACATTCATTTAGAAGCTTATCTGGGATTGTGTCAGCTTTCAGTCCTTATACAAAAATACTGTAGATAATCTAGTAATAAAAAAATAAGCCCTGCTTTCACTGTATTTGATGATGATATAATTTGTGGAGGGGAAGGGAAAGAACAAACTGTTTAAATAGGGATACAGGTGGACCCATTACAACAATGAGATGTATAAGATGTCGAAAAACGAACTTTACAACTTTGGCGGGGGGTGGGGGGGGTGGGGGGGGAAGGGAGGGAAGGTTGGGGGAGGGGGGAGGATGGTAGCAGGGTGTGGGGGGGTGGAGAGGGGAAGGGATGGGAAGGGGAAACAAAGGAGGAGGCAACAATGCTTGATAAGAAATGCACTCATTACCTTGCCCATGTAATTGTAACCCCTCTGTATGGTATTTTCACAACAATAATAATAATAAATCTGATTTTAGCAATGTGTTCTTGAGGTTGACGTCTATAATCTGTTGGCTATGACATGACACTGCATTGTGGTGGGAGCACATGGTGGAAGAAACTGCACATTCCATAGAGAAGGAAACAACAGAGGACCGGATGCAGCTGGGGTCTCAATAACCCTTCGAGAACATGTGCCTCCTAACCTAACCTCCACCCCCCTAGGGCTTACCACTTAAGAAGTCCAACACTTTTCAACAATGCCTCGGGATGGCAAGTAAGACTATAATGTGTGGAAGTTATTTATCCAAACTGTAACAAGCTGGAAGGTGCAAGATGACTTTTCTCACATCTGGTGTCTCCGCAGACACGTGTGATTAGAAGGGCTTGAGGACTGTAATCCCCTCAGCCTTCCCCCAGCACCTACACTTTCTGTATGTAGTGTCTCATCATCCAATCCCATAACATCTGAGTTGCCTTATGTGATTAGTAGATCCTAACAGTGAAAATGAGTACAATAAAGTTTGAGAAGCCACAGGGTTCCAACTCCACAACATCCTATGGCTTAAAACAAATCCTCGGATCAGCTAAGACTCAAGAGGGTAGGTATAAAGGAATCACTTACTGTTGGGAAAAGTAACATAAACATGTACAATTGGGAGGAATTGTTGTTGGCCATATTTATATACTATGTATGACTCCAGATACCAAAAAATGATTCCAACAGAAGCCAAATAAAATTCAGAGCTTTTAAAAATACATTTTATATTTAACATTATTGTATAATTCTTCAATGGAAAATAGTACAGATTAAAGTTTTATATCAGGCTCTCCATTACTTACCAAAGAAAAGACTCTAAATTAAACCTTATTGTCCACAGGAAACAATATCAAATAAACTATGCTAGGAGCAAAAAGAATTTCAGGTATGGGGCTGTCAGATCACCACAAGTTCAATTTCCACACAATCCTAGTGGGTTATAGAGCAGAAAGCTCTCTCTCTTGTGGTCATGGTCAGACTGACCTCACTATTCAATTATGCTTCATAAATTATTTCAGTGAAATGTAGAGACTTCAGGAATCATGTGTGCAATAAGCATTGAGGGTTTTGTTTTTTGTTTGTTGTTGTTTTGCTAGTTCTGGAGTTGGAACACAGGGCCTCACACATGCTGGGTAATGCACCTACCCACTCCCCCAACCCATCACTGTGTTTTGTTTTTGTTTACCACGATAAATAAAGCACTTTCTTGTTTGGAGTTACCTGGAGATAGCCCAACTTCATTACTTACTACTTTATACTTTGAGCAAATAACTTAACTGCAGTTTGGGACTTTTGATTTGGTAAAGTAATACAAAACTAACACTAAGTTCCGAGTATGAACACTTGCATTAAGGGCGTAAGGCGAGAACACTTGCACTAAGGCAGCACCAAGTGGCACACAGAGGGGACTTTGGCTTCGTCCCCAGTTAGGGATCACAAACTCCAAATTTCATCAGTGTTATTATGTAGGTTGTGAATCATACAGCTTTTGGAGTAAAGGTGAAATTTGGTAGAATAATGTAACCGTATCTGCAGTTAATGGTTATTATTCTGAAAAGTGGTTGTGAGTTATGAATAATTTTGTGTTCTCAGGTTTTGTACAGTAAAAGTTGAATTAATTTCCCAGTAAATCAACACAGTCTTGGAACAATGTCCTAAGGGGGAGGGGAGGGGCACTTGTTTGATTAGTCAGACATAAAACGCCTTCTGGGGTTACACATGCAAGGTTATCAGAAGTGATTGTAACGTCCGGGACTCGCAGGATTTCCGTGATTAGTTACCTGGGTTTTGGAGGCTAGGAGACATTTCCTCAGGTGCTAGGTTGGTGGCATGCCCTGGCTGATGGGTTTCTAGTATTTGCTGGTCGTTTTAAAGTCTCTGCCTTTAAGGTGGGCTCGTGTGACTGGGAAAGCGGGAAGCCGGGTCATCATCTTCCCCTCCCCCGGGGGCCACCGGACCACCCGGCCACCCACTGCCAACGTGGCAGCTCCCACGTGGCAAGTGCAGCGACAGCGACGCGGGGCGTGCGGCGTGGGCGGGGCGTGCGGCGTGGGCGTGGTCTGGGCGTGGGTTCACAGCCCCGCCCCCCTCGGCCCTCAGGCCTCTCCCGCTTGCCTCCCGCCTGCCAGCCCGTCCGCTCGGTCCTCCACCGCCAGGGGGCGGGCGCGGCTTCCCGGTGGTCGGGGCCCCATTGGTCGCGGCCGGGCAAGCGTGGGAGGAGGCCCGCAGGGCGAGCTGGCTTCCTCCGGGCCGGTAGCGGGGTGAAGGGGAGCCGCCGAGGCGCGAGCTGGAGGTGGCCGTGGCGCCCGTCAGCCCCCGGCAAGACTGATCGCGGGGAGGCGGATAGGCGGGCGGGAGGCCGGTGAGACGCGCGGGGAGAGCGGTGGCCGAGGGTGGGGGGGGGACGGAGGGAGGCAGGGCCACCCGGACCCCCACCTTCCGCCTCCGCGCCGGGCTCCCGGGCGGGCGCCCTTTGTCAGCCCGGCGCTGCAGATGCAGATCCGGGCCGGCGTTCTTGTGATCTGGGGCGGGAGGGAGGCGGGGATGCACCTGGGCGCTGGGTTTGGACGAGTCTGGACTCCGCTTGTAAAGTTTGGAGGTTGCTTTTCCTTCTAACAGAGTGGCCCTGGCCGATCCGTGCGTGCGCCGGTCCTGCTGGCTGCTGCTGCTGCTGTTGTTCGTGTCATTATTCTCTTATTTCTTGGCATTTTGTTTTTGCTACTGTATCCACACCTCCGGGTGTGCGTGGTGATTCCCGCCCGTCTCCCTGAGTAGTGTTGATGATTTGAAATTGACATCGCCAGCTATGACTTGTTTGGGGGTGGGGGATTCTTTACCCCCCACTAAATTATAGGACTCCACTCTTAGTTCATAAGATCATGGGATCTGTTCTTAGTTTTTTGTTTTTTGTTTTTTTCTTTTTAGAATATAGATAGGATGTCACTACCACTTGTTTACTATATCCTGGGCACAGGCTTTCCTATATAAGTGTATTTCTCATAACACATTGGATTAGGCTCTCTGTCTACTTCTCTTGCACTTGCAAATATGAACTCTCAAGCGCTTGTGAACACTTTGCGGGACTTGTGTGACGCGGTTAAAATTTTCCACAATGATTGTATTGAGTGATCCAGTGCCTTCCAGAATTCAGACACGGCCATTTAACTAATAAAATAGAAGTTAATAACTCACCGAATGCCATTTAACAGGAAATGAGCAGAATTGGCAAAGCAGCATCTGGCTTTGGTGATAGCGCTGACCTGCCCCTTTCTGGAGATTGCCAGTCTGAATTTTCCATCTGCTCACGAGTTAAAGTCAGTTGATTTAGGTTTATACAGGTATTATTAGGAGCTTTGTTTCATAGATTTTTACAGTCTCTCAACTCTTGAAAGACAAGTATTTCTTGATGGGAAGAAATAAAAGGTGTAGAAAGGCAACAGGAAAGTTTCCTTGTGGCAATAAAGTATCTTGACTGGTGATGGATACAGAACCACCACTCAAAAGGTCAGATGTCTTAGTCCAGAATCAATCCTCCCCCCCTCCCCAATGATTACAAGACCACAGTTTGATTTTTGATGTGTTTATTCCTTAGTAGACTTGTTTGCTATGGGAGAGTTATATGAATATCTCAAGCAATGAGTTTTTAGTGATTTTCATAAAATCATAAGGAAGTAGTATACTATCAGGTGTGCTAACTTAAGGATATTGTTACCTGTAGTTAATTGTCATTAGCTGGTCAGTTGAAATGAGCTTAATTGTTGCAGTTGGTGTGTTTTCAGAAACTTTATCTTAGAAACCTCTTTTCTGTGCAAATGTCTGCTAACGTGTGTGTGTGTGTGTGTGTTTTAGAAATACCATATTAAGGGCTGGGAAGATGGCTCAGTGGTAGAGCACTTGCCTAGCATTCATGAGGCCCTGGGTTCAATTCCTCAGCACCACATAAGCAGAAAAAAAAAAGCCGGAAGTGGCGCTGTGGCTCAAGTGGTAGAGTGCTAGCCTTAAGTTGAAGAGCTGAGGGACAGTGCCCAGGCCCAGAGTTCGGGCCCCACGACTGGACCCCCCCCCAAAAAAAAAAAAAGAAAAAAGAAATACCATATTAATACTGTGTTTCACTCAGGGCCCTTATGCAGCGGAAACCACTCAATTTCTCTTTTTTTTCTGCCGAAGGTTTCACTGAGAGAATCGTGTCTATCTTGGTGCAATTCAGTTTTGCAGATTAAAGACCATGTAAGGAGTAGCTTTGTTGGAGAATTCTTAAAACATAGAATAGGAAACTGGTATAATGTAAAGTAGTTATAGGTAATGAGATTAGCCTTCTCTAATCTTTTTGTAAAGTTTACAAGATACTGCATTGCCCTATAATTAAAAATTTGTTTTTCTTTCTGTCATTATTCTTGACAATATTTATTTCTGTCTTCCTATCTGCCCACAGATCTACCCCTGCTCCAAAGGATTTACTACAGGATTAAGGTAGTTTCGAAACAACTGTAGAATTCTGAAAGAGCAGGCAAAACCTGTCATTTTTGTAGGTTTCTGTCTTGATTTATGGTTTAGCTTATGTTTATGCTCTGGGTTATAGGAATCTAATCACCATTTAATTTCTTAAACTGGCTTATGACTTTATAAGCAAACTTCTGCTTTGGTAGAGTAAAAGAACTTCAAGAAAATAGCTGGATAATTTAAAATCTAGTAGTCTGTTTTACCATTGCACACAAGAGTTCTTTTCCCCCATTCCTCACCACATTGTCTCCAGGCTTACTCATCTCAGAGGGGACCTGGCCTGGAGACAGGGTGAAAAGAAGGAAAATTCTTGTCATATGAATTTTCTTTTCCTCTTCCTCCTCTTCCTCTTCCTCCTCCTCCTCCTCCTCCTCCTCTTCCTCCTCTTCTTCTTCCTCCTTTTCCTCTTCTTTTTCTTCCTCTTCCTCCTCTTCTTCCTCCCTTTGGTTCCCCTTAAAATTTTCAGTATATTTGAATTGGCTTGATGTAGCTCTGAAATTCTTACATCTGAGCCTGAATGAGTATAACCTGGGAAGCTTTTTAACTTTGCTAGAGTTTTCATCTCCATTCCTTGTGATTTCTCTCTCTCCAAGTCTGAGAATTTGCATTTTAAAGAGCACTTTGGAAATTCTGGTTGCCATGATGTGGGCATTTCTGCAGTTGGGCTTTTTGGAGTGTTGTTTTCACTGAATCTGGGAAGCCATCGTTTGTAAAGTACACCATTAGTTTATATTGTACTGCAAGCCTCACTTCAGTTTAGAGGTGTTGCTAGGGGAAGTAGTGTGCCCTGAAATCAATAGTGCATGGTTTTAGCTGTCTGTGAGCCAAAATGACTCCTCAGTTATATTAAAGGATTATTTTAAGAAACAGGATATAAGATAATAAATTATATCAGCATTTCTTCAGGGCTTTTAAAAATTATTATTTAAAACCCTCTAAAACAGTTTATAAGGTGTCCTCACTGGACATGTATGTATAAATAATGTTCTGATGATCTGACTTTAAGGTACAGCTCAGACACTCCTATCTGGCCTCATGACCTTCAAACTCATTTCTAGTCATTGACACATTGTTCAGAAGTTTAGAAGTCTTGAGTCCACCGAAGTGTCTTAGTTAATGCCACATTGTGACATCGGGTGACCAATCAGGTGAGGCATGATCATTTGATTTCTGGTTTTCTTTTCACCTTTGTTCAGTCAGAGCATTGATAGCCATTATATGGCCAGCTAGCTGATTATACACATTTACACCAACTACACACATCCTTCCTTGATTGATAAGTAGTTTTAGGATATAGCAGTAACAAAGGTAAGAATTAATCTGTGTCAGAGTACACAAAGTGCTCTCTTTGCCAACTCAAAAGCTTTGGTGGCATTTGGTGTGTTCTGTAAGAGTATCTATAACTTAGAACAAATCTTTCCCCCTTGGTGAAACTTCAGTAAGAAGCAACCTTAGCTGCTTGTGCTGTGCTGTGTCCTTCCATTGTGGAGAAAGTTGCTTAGCTGGTTTAGATTTCCCAGGAAGGAGCAGAACACGGGTACATTTCTCTTTTTAATCCCTTAAGCTGTTTTTGGGAAACATGGTTGAATGATTGTTGATCATCTGGAATCTTTTAGATATTGGATATCTCACTGTTTGTGGGGGTGGGGGGACAGTGGGAAGAGGGACCAATTCATGTGGAGTGGAGAAATTGTACTGTGGAATTTTTGACCCGGGGTGACTGGTGTTAGATGTGTGTGGTCTGTCAGGCCTGGCCACTTCTCCACTAGGCCTTTGTAACAAAGTTGGTCTTACCTAGCGACTTCCTGGACTGAGTGGTATTCCCTAACCTGTTTAGAGATGGAGGGACAGTGGCTGCAATTGTCCATTTTCCCTGACCTATTGGAGAGCAGAGAGCAGCTTTCTGGAGGATTAGTCTCTTCTAAGAAGAAGCAGATGATGTTAGGTAAAACAATTTTCATTCTGTATGGAGAAAAGCAAAATTTTTCCAGTGTAATTGCAATCTGTCTCACATCTATTGTTGGTTAACAAGACTCCATGGTGGGGGAGGGATGGGGGAGGTTAGAAACACTTTCTGCTCATTTATACTTTCCACAGTATGTTTTTAGTTGTGTTTTGGTGTCTTAGCCACATTTAGATACATTCATGTTCTAGTGATTAGACTCAGACCCCTGTGCTAAGCAAGCTTTCTACCACATAAGCCATATCCCCTTTTACATAAAGGTTTTTTTTTTTTGTCTGTTGTGAGGCCTGAACTCTGGGCCTGGGTGCTGTCCCTGACCTCTTCAGCTCAAGGCTAGTGCTCTACCACTTGAGCCACAGCGCCACTTCCGTTTTTTTCTGCTTATGTGGTGCTGAGGAATTGAACCCAGGGCCTCTTGCATGCAAGGCAAGCGCTCTACCACTGAGCCACCAGGTTCTCACACTTTCTGAGGCTGGCCTTAGACTGCAGTACTACCTCCCTCAACATACATACATATATGTATGTATATATATATATATGCGTATATATCTGTGTGAATATATGTATATCTATATACATATATACACATACATATACATGTATATATTTTTGTGTATGTGTATATATACTATCAACCTAGATATCAGTGGCTCAGACCTGTAATCCTGACTACCCAGGAGGCTGAGATGTGAGGACTGAAGTTCAAAAGCCAGCACCTGGGCCCATAAGTACATGAAACTTTTGTCTCTTGTACTTAACTACCAAAAAGATAGAAATGGAATTGTGTCTCAATTGGTGATAACATGCCCTCTTGAGTGGAAAACCTAAAGGACAGTGCTCAGACCTGAATTCAAGGCCCAGTTCTTCTAGCCCAGAAACAACAGCAGCAGCAACAACAA